GTTACTGAATACTCTAGATCAAGGGTGTTCAGACCAAATGCGATACTGTTTCAATGTAAATCAATATTCAGATCAGAGGACCGCAGAAACATAGGTTCACATAGGCCTTCAAAAATAGAAATAAGATTATAATGTTAAATTTAGTTTTATTAATTAAATAATTTAAATTTATTTATTTGGTGTGCCATAAAAATAAAATAATGTGGTTTTACCAATACACCAAATGACAATTTGCGTAATTGTAATAAATTAAAAATATGACACGGGTCGCATGTGGCCCACGAACCGTACTTTGGACAGCCCTGGTCTAGATTGAAACCAGCTTAAAAATACGAGAAGAAGAAAAATTATAGCGAGAGTCATCCAAAATTCGCAAATGTCTCCTCTATTGATGCATTTATAGAATGATAATATATACATATTGAGTTATTAAGCCAGCGTTTATTATCGTTAATAATTATTATATTATTATTCATTTATATATTAAAATTATAAGATCCCACAACAGTAGGCAATGAGAACTGAAAGACTATATATAAATATGGACGCAAGTATGGAACATGCTAAGAACACTTTTATATGAATTCCAATGAAGGACTTATATAGTCATAAATAATTTCTACAATAATAAAATAAGTGTGACAGAACTTTCTGGATCTTTATTACAACACTGTTTTCTTATATGATTTTTGAAAGGATATTTCTAAAAGTATCGTTAAATCTCTGTGAACTTGCTGATGATAATGCACTAATAAACTTTAATATTCATTTCAGATACGCTTCAGTAGATACGCCCAAGCAATTATCAATACTTGTAAACTAGACATATAGAATTAGAACTATGTTAAGAATAATAAATAATTATAATTCTTAAAAAATTATTTTTATAATTATTATAATTATAATATTAGCCCAACGAAACCAAATTATTATTTTTTTGAATTTAAGACAGTATAAATCTTGAGAACCCACTGACCACTATCTTAAGAAATTTGTCAGTGTATGCGTATGATATTATGAGATGCTAATTTGTGTATATTATGGAAATATTTCCGAAACCACATTTTGAAGTTTTCTTTAAGAGATATTTACTCTCAAAATGGTGCATTCGGTGTATGTTTAAAGGGTTCGAATTATTGTAGACTTCCCTACAAAGACGTTGACCACTTCCACAAAAAATGCTCATGTGATGTAGGTTTCCAAATAATTACATATACATCCATTTTCCTTAAATATTCCATCAGGCATTAATTGAGTTATATATACGTTAATATATATTTTTAGCTAAGCTTATACTAACACATTTATATGTTAACAACCTACATATACATTAAAATTCAATTTTAATTGGGTATAAGTATAAGTATATTTTTTATTAGGTACAAGTATAAGTATATTTTATATTAGGTATAAGGAGAGCAGTGCAACCGTTTTTGATGGAGAGAGATGTCATCGATTCTTAACTCAACATTGGAAAATATATGAACTAAACAATAAAATGATCACATCTTCAACTATAGTAGTAGGGAATATGTGATTCCCTCTCTTCACTTATGCACAACGTAAACTTATGAAATGGAAGTAGAATTCTTAAGAAAATTACTCACAAACACTAAAAGAAATTCAAAGTATGTTGTTTTAAAGTTGGACCAAATCATGTTGTTCCTATCTCATCCCAAACCACAACTTTACATCAGAATGTATCTCAATAAATTTAATAGAACTTTAAGTTGGCACTTGCACTGATGTGTAAGCTTTGCTTTAAATGATAGAAATATATTCCTTTAAATATTTGTATAATTGTTTGGTTAGATACGTAAAACCAATGGATCCTTCAAAAAGTGGAGAGAATGAAACTGGTTGTAATAATCTCAGTCTTGAGATTATTCAAAACAATATAACGGGCAATTATGCACGGGTTAGCTTCAAATCTTTGGTAAGCTCTCCAGCTTATGCTGTTAAACAACATTTGTCGAATAATCCGCATGTCATGATTGTTTACTTGGAAATTGATTCGGAAGAGGACGAATTTCAAGCTGCATTATATATAATCACTGATGGCGAAGTTACAGCCCACAAAGCATTCTGTGATTCATTGATGGTGGTTTGCGAAGAAATGCATTTTTCAGTGACAATAATTGTGAATGAGGACAGCAGAATGCTTGACTTGCCTGAGGAATCAAATCATTTTCCTTGGGAAGATGATTAATTAAAAAATTAATTATTAGAAGAAAAATCCAGAAATTGCATTGTATTATATACTGTATTGATTGTGAATATATAGAGTGTGAATTATGAAAATTAATAAAAATAAATATATAAATGAAAACAGACATAACGTATTTACATATATTCGAAAATTTTAAATGCCTATCTCTAGATCATCAAATAACAAATCTTTTATTTTTTTTTAATGTGATGACTACTTTTTAATAATAATTTTGAATTAATTTCAGAAGGTTTAGCAAATAATTGACTTATGGTTTCGATTTTTTGTGTTGTTGAAGAATTCATATCCAATTGCACCTAGAGTTTCTATTTGACTTGTCATTAACTGCAAAGTTGGTGCGACAACCTAAACCTAAATACATTATAGGGTTTATCAATCTTCGATCGAATTAAATTAAAGGTTTTAATGCATAACTGATTCTTCTAATAGAATTAATTGATTCTCATTCTTTCGCAATATACATAAAATATACAAATGTAAAAATTAGTTTAAAATCACAAAAATCATAACTACCAGTAAAAGAAAAGGTTTAATTAAATAGAATAATTAGTAGAAGACATGCATTAAAAACCTTACCTGTAAAATTTTCCAAATAATTTTAGAATTCAGGTTTCTTTCGGTTCAATAGAATAAAGAAAACTATTGAAGATATCTGTCAGTTACACATGATTAGTTTTTTCATTATTGATGTGTTCCTTAATACGATATGTATTCCAACAATAATATATTGCATATCATCTGTTTGTACCTTTGTACCTTCTTGTAAACTTCTTAAGGATAGTTAGAATAATGCAGCTGCTTAAGTTAAGGTAAGCTTTAAAGTGATTAAGCTCGTCTCGAAGTCATTCCTTTGGTCATGTACCAACTTAAAAATAATGAAAGTTTATGATGAGTGAATAATGTCTATGGTCTAATTTTTAATTTAATGGACGTTGACTGCACTAATGTACCCAACATGCGATTTCTATTGTTAATGCCTACAAGTGCATCGAGGGCAGCCGGATTAAATTCGGACGACAGATTTTAATTATATAAAGTTCACATATTCTAAACTTCTGTCTTATATATAGGGTTTGAAGTGTTATCAACTGCATACAGGTGTATCTGTCAAAATGATATTGCCAACTATATGAAATTCATACGAATAACAGCTGTATGTTATATATTGTTTACAAGATAACACAAATGTAATAGTGTGATTGGGTTATATTTAGCTGGAAAACTACAACCAGCTATTATTTGTGAGTTCAAGCAGGAGTTCAAGCAGGAGTTCAAGATCAAGCCTTACAAGTACGAAAAGGCAAAAGATCTTAAACCAAAGCAACAAAAAGTTAGACTCGAAAGAGGAGTTGCTGCGTTTGCACGAACGTGGCGAATTTCCAAACATTGTGTTCTCTGATGAGAAAAATTTTCCTATTGAACAGTTTAAAAATTCTAAAATGATCGTGTTTACTAAATTGAATGCACCGCCGAAAATTTGAAATTACGAATCACCACTCGAAATCATTTTCCATCTCAAGTAATGGTATGAGCAGCTGTGACCGCCGATGGACACTCCCCAATCGTTTTCATCGAGCCTGGTGTCAAAGTCAATGCGACTTATTATCGAGAAAATAGCTTGGAAGTTGGTTAAGAGCCGTGGGCACACAAACATTTCGGTCGTAGATCATGGACGTTCAAACAAGACTCAGCACCATCTCATAAAGCACCGTCTCGTATAAGCCAAGAATGATTTTGGAGAGCAAGGTGAGGACTCAAAAATATTACAATATGAATGCGCTGAAGAAAGCCATTGTTTAGGATTGGGCCGAAATACTAGAAGATCACATTCGTGAACCATTCAACCCATTTTTTAACCATTTGAAGGCGAAATTCAAAGCAAAAGATGGTCACATTGAGGTAGACTTAACGATTTCTGAAATTTTAATTTTTTCCACAAAATTTTTATAATATAAATCAATAAAAAATAATTTCACACATAATAGATATGGTCGCTTGAATAGGTAACATCGAAACGAACCGAACTCTAATGTACTACTATTAAGTTGACTATATCATTTGATTATGATAACAAAACCATCATAATTTTGCCATAATTGCCAAAAGGTCAATATATTAATTATGGCAACAAGGGGATGTGGAGTAAAAAGTACTAAGCTAATTAATTTCAACGCCATCGACATGATGAATCATATATGTATTATCTATTAAAAACAAATTTTGATATGTTCCAATTGTTGTTTTTTAAAAACTGGAGAGTTTGCTCAATTTCCTATCAATTACTCTCTCTCTTTCTCGCTCTTGCTCTCCTTCTCTCTCTCTCTTTCTCTCTCTCTCTCTCTCTCACTGTTTCTGTCTCTTTCTTTTTCTATCGCTGTCCCTCTTCCTCTTTTTCTTTCTCTCTCTCTCTCTTCCTATCCCTATCCCTCTTTTTCTTTCTCTCTCTCTCTATCTCTCTCTGTTTTTCCGTATTGCTTACAAACTACATGTACTTTGCGGAAAATACAGTTACAATGGTTGTACCACACTATTGAAATTGTTTCTTTGTAGCAAATCATTTGTCAGTGAATCTGTGCGAAATATTAAACCAATCCAAACAAATCGTTTAAAGCAACATATGTTACATACATGTAAGTCAATAGAGATAATGTAGTATTGCTTATAGAGCAGAAACACAATTTTCTCAATTTCTTATTCATACTCGAATTATTATGTTAACTCAACAAAAGTTCTCAAATCGGAAAATGAGATTCTTTAAAATTATCTAAGTATTGAATGAATGAGTGAACTATTCGATAAAGTATTTGTAGTTAGTGCAAGAGCAAGATCAGTTCCATTATTTCGCCTTCACAATACATGTAAGTGATTTTAGAAGTAGAACGTTTTTTATAAATATGAATAAAATTATTGGTGAGAGTTGAAGTCTTGCAGACCATGCAAGACTAGTGCCTTCTCATTCTGAATTGTGGTTTCACTTCGAACTGCAATTCTACAAAATTGAATACAATTTTCAGTTCAAGCTCACGTTGAACTGAAGCCTTAAATTTAAATACTAAAGCGGTTCTAAACAAATTACAGTGATCGCTTCGCTATTAACCACAATGGATTTGTCAAGTAATGCAATTATCGAAAATCGTGGTGAAATTATGACATTAACTTTCGTTCGCAATGTGGCTTCGAATAATTCAATTCATGTTTTGGTTGAAGCTGTAGAAGCCGCTTTAATTTCGATTTTTAGGAATGTCCTAATGTTGAATCCAAATGTCCTTATAACTGAACAGGAAAGCGCTTCTGAAAATGGCAAAATCTCAGCTACCTGGCACATACAAACGAATGGTCAAGTTACAGCTCTAAATGCATTCTATAGCGCTGTCGTTTTGACATTTCATGAAATGAACTACAGATTGGGTATAATGCAGGGTCTGAATGACCATGCAGATGACGGTGTCCAATCAAATTGAAATTTGAGTGCTCTGCAATTAAAGCAAGACGTCGAGCAAAGCCGGAGAGGCACGTCGACAATAATATTGAAAGAAATACAATGTTGTATTGAATGTAGAACTGAATAGAATTGATTTCGATTGGATTTTTGACATAAATATATGCAACAAACTGAATGAAATTTAATTAATTAATAAACATGTAATTATTGAATAGAAAACACCCAAAAATTATGCAAATTATTCACTTAAGGAACAATATGACTTACCGTGCAGGAATTTAAATATTGAAAAACTTATTAAATAAATTTTTATATATAATTTTACATATTAATATTTTACATATTCTTACAATATTCTATGTCAGTATACAATATTTATGTCAACAGCTATTAATCAAATAAATAAAAATAAATGTGTTGTGGAATTAATTTATTGTCGTTTTATAATTATTTTAGCTAAAGATTCATATTTAACTTACTTTCATACTTCCTCTTAATTGAAAATTTATTTCACATTGGAAGGGTGAAGTGTAAGGCGTAAGTACGTGTCATACATATTCTCTTTGATCTCATTGACCTTTATTTACCTCATGAAGCAATATGTTTCCAATAATGGAGACTATTAAACCTGTACAAACTTGGAGGTCACATACACAAAATATCTCATATAGGGTAACAACACTACCACCAAACCACTTATAGAAACTGGTAAACTCAAATTCTCAAGAAATGTTGATTAACACTTGTGTATTAAAGCAAAAAACAGAACATTATTTAAATCGAAAACATATGTTTTACTTTCTGGTAATATATACGTACCTCAACAATAAAAATTATTGATTCACATATCATCAGTGCCATTTTCAGGGGGTTGGAAGAGGTTAGGTAATAGATACCTTACTTGACAATACAATAATAAAAGCAAAAATTTGGTTAATTGCAAAAACAACAACAATAAAATATTTTCTAATATATTACTTCACAATAAGTACAATCCTAGTTAATCTATTTTAGAATTACTTATATATTTTGATATTGAATTCTACGAACTCTGCGATTGAAGTATACTTTCTTTTGGCACGAAAGTGAAAAAAAAATGATTGCTTCGTAAAATTATAAAAGCTTATGGATTAATTATTGCTTTGTGGTCATATACTATAATGCTAATCCACCTTCGCGTTAATTTACTAACATGCAAACTACAGCATTAATTATGGATCGTTCTTTTCACGTAACATCCAACCTTATGGGTTAGATCCAACCCTCTAACCCACATTGAGATATACTCTAATTTTACTTCGTTATTTTAATATAAATTTATTAACTCAGCAATCTGGTTTTTGACAAACAAAAATTATAATTTTAACCTTTTTTTTTGAAAATCTATTAAAGTTTTAACAATTTTGTAGTGTTATTGAAGTGGCAAAAGCCGAATACATTTGATTTGAATCTCAAGTTAATACTGAGATTTAAGCATAAGCATTTCAGGCTCTTCAGTTCTGATCTTTCTTAAATTAATTTTGTGGTGCTGTTAGCCGCAATGGATCTTGACGAACTTGCTTGTTTCACTCGCCATAATGAATCGTTTACTCTTCGTGTCATTTGCCATTACGCCGCGAAGCAGCTGGCTTTGATTGTACTTGAATGCAGACTGCATAGTCTAAGTGACGTAATAACGGATGCATTGTGTAATAATCCAGATGTTGTGTCAGCTGAGCAGGATACCCACTATCGTGACGGCAAAAGGATTACCGTGTTCTTTCTGGAAACAAATGGTAACATTGGAGCAGTGGAAGCTTTCAAAAGGGCAATTCCGGAATAAAAAAGAATTATAATTTAATTTATTTTTAAAGTTAATCTATTGAATTTATGTTAAATTCACTTTAACATGCAATAAACTAATTAAGCAGCAAAAAATTTTTAAATCTATTTAATAGAGTTCTGATTGTGGGATAATGTTGAGGTAAGATAAAGTTCCAATCTTATCAATCTGTATGAATTAAGAATCACGTCTTATGATTTTCAGTTCAGAAAACTTTTATTAAAATAGAGATTTTAGAATGGTGTCCTATTTGTCATAGCACTAATTTTTCAGTGCGAATATATTATAATGAATATAATGTTAAATGAAATGCAAAGATCATATATAGATCATATATATATAGGAACTATATATATAAAGTAAATATCCAATCACAATATTATTAGCTTCACTGTTTTCTTATTACATGATATTCATCCTTTTTATATATCTATAACTAAACTAGATCTTTCACACTGATTATCTCTGACACTGATGTATGTCATTCTTGTGTTATGAAAATCGAAAACTCAAAGTACAGTTTTTTGGAAAGTCCAGCTCTTGGTAGATAAAGAGGTGGTGGTCTTGTAATGTCTCCATATGAATTATTAAACAACAAACTCCAACTTCTGTAAAAATTTATAAAAAACCTAAATATATAAGTTTAAGGATGAAAGTTATGTACAATAGATCTATTTAGGTCGCAATACTTTCTGGTCTCTAATAATAATAATAAAATTTATTCTTTATACTCTTATTTATTCTTCAAAATTTGCGTCTATATTAATTGACTATAATCGGTGGTGTTAAACACTGGTTCGCTCTTACATATTCTGTCTATGTTAAATAATCTTTCAAATAATCGCCTTGTTAACTCAGGTTCCCACGTTAGAGTTGTAAATAAATGTTCTTAAAGAAATGTTGTAAAAATTTCAAGGCAGTATCAAACACTTAATTTTGGTAAAAAAATGACTATCTTAACGATAATGACCATGTTACTTTCAATCTTTTTAGTAGTACTACTTTGCAAACTACATTCAGTCGTTTTTCTGTAATTCAATCACATAAAGTTTCGTATTTATGAATACATTATTGTTATTATCGATAGGCTGTGCATGTACTGAGACCTGAAAGATATTTTGTCCAGATGGATACATTAAGAGATAGACTAACATTAATACTGCATCAGTACATAGAACGAAAAAAATTCAAGTCAAACTTTTAGATATTAAACCACTCTACCTACTTAACAGTTACTCCCCGTTCACTTAATATCAACATTAAATATTATCTTTAAATCTATTTAGCGTTACAGTTCTGAAGCCCATAGGCATTGATTTGGGTATGCAATAAAGAATTTACAGAACAGATAAATATCCTGACGAAAATAATCAATAAAAAAAATACGGAGTACTCATATTCGTTTACATAGTTTTTATTCATTCTCTAGAACTTATGAGTAATAATAAAAGCAACAACAACTGCTATGTAGTTAACAGTTATATATATTCTGCTTGACCTATATTTCGCAAAATATTTAAAAAAAATATATCTGCGCAATTATGATGTATCTATATGAAGTATCTATATTTGTTTACGTTGTAAAAATGCGCATTTTTAGACAACCTCGCAATATATGTGAGCATATTTAGTTGTTTATGCGAGTATAGACAATTTTTATTGGCTGATAAAATCGTATGATCAAATCGAATGATCACATCATCAAGAAATATATTTTATTTGTTTTCTTTGTTTAATTAAATTTAAGGGTGTTTATTGAATCTTCTCTCTTAGAGACCAATAAGATGTATTTAACTCTTAAACTACTTAATCACATCACGAGATTATACTATATTACCTTAAAAATGAAAATAAGTTAACTATGATACGTATTTTTTATCGATCGGACCACTATTTAGTTAAAACAGGACTAGAAAACAATAGAAATTGACATTCTCTGTGACTATATGGTTTAGAGCTCATGCGCGAGTATTAAGAATGAGTTACAGTGGAAGGACAAAAATAGAAATAAAATAAATAAAAATAATATATAATAAGTCAAGATAAAAAAATGATCCGGTTGTTTTAGCCATAAGGCCTAATAGTATATATAACCGTTTTAGAGAAAAAGTTAACCCACGTTAATTTCAGTTTAGAAAGTATTTTTGTTCAATATTTTTAAGTTCTCATTTCTGATTTACCATGCTATCTTAGATTATTCCTGATATTTTTAACCAAACTTTTTGTAAGATTTTAATATATAATGTACTTATAATGTCAAATTCAATAGTCCATTTAGTGATGATGTATAATGCAATTTTATTCTCTAATGTAAAGGAAAAATATCTAGCAAATAGTCAGTGCAGCTTAATAACTAAAAGTTTGACTCCAAGTTTTAATTATTGTGCTTATACAGCGTTAATGTTTTATCTATATCAATCCGTAATTATGTGACGAGATACAATACGTATATCCTGTTAAGTGAAAAAATTTTACTTGATTTTCCCTTCACTGACGTAGATATATATATATATACAACTGCGCTTAGTTCCATTAACGGCATAATCATGCGATTATTCGTTCGCCTGATTGCTACCAAATGGGACATCCACTAGTTGATCTGGAAAAGTCCACGTTAGCCTTCTTAGTTCTCAACTTGATAAGCGAAGCTCGTTCACTTTTATCTTGGCTATTGAAGTAAGCACTCGCGTTCCTTATAATATTTTAATATAATTACTTATATATGAATACATACATATATATATATATAAATAAATTTTGAAATTTATTAAAACATTATCATATTAATACATTTTTGTAAATTCGTTTGCTAATTTAGTTATATAAGGTTGCCATGCAGGAACTGAAAAAACAAAGTAATCACATCCAGTAAATATATATTAAAATTTATATGTAGATGACATGAGTAGGACACTCTAATAACACTTTTAATTTGTTTCCTATAAGGGACTTATATAGTCATACATAACTTTTGAAATAACTAAATAAGTTTGATAAAGTTTTATTGAGCTTTATTACAGCACTTTTTTCATTTATTTCTATGGTGTTTAAGAGTATATTCTTAGAAGTATCCTTAAATCTTGCTAAGCAAATTCATATATAATGCACTAATCAACTTTTATTTTCATTTTATAAAGCTTAAACTGGTACGCCCAAGTAATTAAGAATACTAGTATTTAAAATAATAGAAAAACTAAAGTGGACTGCATCCATGCTAAGAATGACAAACTATTATCAACAATTTTAGCTTATTAAAACGAGATTCCGTACCATTTTTTATTTTCGAGAATTTTTTACATCCAAAACTACTACGCCACTGGAGTATTTAAAAATAATTTACGATATAATAAAAATATAATAAAGCTGTCAACTTGAGTCATAAATAAAAATTGTTCTTTATCTGTCGCCCATTATCTCTAAAGCGAAAGAATTTTATTTTTTTTATTATT